CTACAGATGAAAATACACAGGCTTAGAGTTGTCACATAGAAAGGAGGAACATTTTGAAGATATAAGTTTAATCTTCTATATTTTAGTCAATAATGGCTCTTCTGAATTAAAACTTACTCAGTTTGATGGAAAACAAATAGGTAATATTTACAGGATAAGAAGTGTCAGGGGCATATCTTGTCCACTTCTTATCCTGATGTGTAATATTATCTTAGATGTGTGTAATAATTTTTTCCCTGGTAATCTAATGCAAGAGAAATGCAATGTGTGAAAATATTATTTTCTCTGGCTAAAGAGCAAAGATTAGCATTTTGGAAAAATGATTAGGTTAATCTGTAGACCACTTGGTACATGCTTGCAGACCAACAATGTTCCAAGAGCCATACTTTGAAAACCACTGGTTTAGAACAGAAATTAAGTTAATAGGAACAAACTAATATGAAAATATGTACTGTAATTGATAAAAATAAACAAGCATTTTCACAAAGAGCAAATTTTCTTAAAGCATTTCAAGATAATTATTATAGAGGAAAGCAATACTAATGTTTACCAGGAAAAAATTGAACTGTTAAGAATTTTTTGAATAATAATTGATTTTTGGAGCTGAGAAAACTAGACTGTCAGTTAAAATAAATCTTAATTATACTTGGGAAGAATTTTCAAATGTATTAAATCAAAACAATAGCCAAGACAGTTAAGGTGCCAACCTAACAATCCATATTCAACAGTTCAAAGAAAGTGCATCATGATAGTGTGCCCATTTCTTTAAAATTAATCTCTACTCCATTTTTAAGTGTCCTGTAAATTTCAATGGCTTCCAGCTATTTAACCTGGAGGCCATTGATATTCTTTAAGGTTTGTCTTGTTGGAAATTCTGTGTAGCAATTGTGTCTGTAATTTTGTGTGTTTATAATTATAAATTTTATTAATAGCAACATTTACATAACATAATTTAATCAGTAAACAATTTTCAAAGTACATTAGAAACATGATTATCTGAAATGTGATCATCCAAAACTTTGGATTATCTAAAATGGTTTAAAAAAAAACCAAGCAATTATTTAGGATGATATTGTCACAATGCCAGGCTGCAATTTTTAATTTATTTAATTTAAAATATATGCTCTCCACTTCAAATTAGTATTGTAGTGTCTTGCCCCTGTACATCATACTTTTCCATTAGCAATGGAGTTGTGCCAGTCATTTATCTAACTCCTTTCAGGGAAGAATTTTTTAATCAAAGTAACATGCCTTCTAGTTTGTATATAGTTAATTGGGGCCTTTTGCCCCTAAGCTTTCTATATCTGATCTTGACTTTCAAGTATCTAACTCCATTCTCAAGGTTAACGAAAGACAAATGACTGGGAATTTAAGGTCTACAATTTTTTCAAATTGCATCCCAAAAATTAGAATGTATAGTATTGTACATATCAAAGACTATACTATAATACAGGGGTGTCAAACTGGCAGCCCCTGATGTGATTTTTCATGGCCCATGGCCATGATACTCTGCAATAAAATGAAATACAAAACAATATGTTACAAAGAAAATAGCAAGTAACCATTTATTTTTTTTTTCATTGGACCTTTTTTCTTTGAAGTTGAAAAAGCTCTGACTTCAATACACCTGGAATTAGTTGATTTACAGAATGATTCGGTTTTAAAAGACAAATATTGAGAAATAGGAACTTCCAAAATATATTCCTATTTAAGATAAACGACTTCCAACCACTTAACACTGCGTTGAATAATAACAATCCACGAAAAACCTTTTTTTTTTTTTTTTTAGTGACATGTAATAGTGACATAACACTCGTAAAAAAAAGGGGGTTTTTCGTGGATTGTTAATATTCCTATTTAGGTGAAAAATACTCAAATTAAAAAGTTTGTTGCACAAATTTTATGCTTTTTTGGAAGTACAGTCAACCCTCTTATAACACGGTAGATACGTTACACTTTATAAGACTTTTACGTTGTAGGAATCCTTAAATACATGAGCCAATCAGCCTGGCACGTGTGTAGTTTATGGACTACAGATGTTTGAAAGATTTTCTTCCATATAATTAATTGATTCTAGACTAATTTGACTCAACAGTTCCAAAACATGTATAATTTTTTGGGAATAATCCGTATAAACTATGCTATAAACAAAAAATTGTAGGATTACTTACCAAGTATGCACTGTTCGACGACGCCATTGCTTAAGCTTGTTTTTGTTGCAGAGCAGCGCACCAAACGGTGGGTGCGTTTTCTGATAAGTTATTTTTCTACGAAAAATTTGTTGAACTTTGGAGACATCATTAATAGAAATAATTTTTATGGCCGTTGAATAAGAAATGTTTTTTTCACAAGAAATGTATAAAATTACATACTGTATTAGACTTACAGTACCTAATTTATATATTAGTAAACTCAACTTGCCCGCCTAAACTTTCCACAGTGTGTAAGTAGTTCGGCCGCTCGTCCACTATTGGTTCAGATTCGACCAATCCTGTCGCGACACGAGTCAGCGATGATGTTTTACTGCATTTTACGAGTCTCTTTTAGCGTCTTTATATGAATACGGTCGCAATTTTTTTGCCGCAATATACGAATCCGCATTATATGAACCCGCATTATAGGGGGGTCGACTGTGTGTACTTATGTGAGCAATTATTTTCATGTATGAAATTAAATAAAACAGCTTACAGATCAAGCTTAACTGATAAACATCTATCTGCCATAATGAAAATTGTTTGTTCTCAGTCTTTGAATCCAGATATTGGAAAACTAGTAGAAGGAAAAACGTGCTGGCAAGTTTCTGGTGAAAACAATTAATTTTAGTTTTATAAATATGTACATTAAATAAAATAAATGTTTAAATAAAAGCAATACTATAGCAATTATATATTGTTGAGTTGAATTAACTGAACTACATAATGTGTTTTAATTGCCCTATCTATATTCCTGCATTCTCACTTCAAATTATAATTTTAAGAAAATTTGTAAATGTGATTTGGCCCATGTGAATCTTACCAGTCACATTAATGGCGCATTGTTTAAATGAGTTTGACACACCTGCTATAGTACACAGAAAACAAACTCTCCATATAACAGAAAATTACTACATCTGTCAATTATAGTGCTATGAAACTAGATCATATTCATGACATTAAATTTTGAGTAAATTAATTTACCTTCAAATGTAGTATCAAGTTGTAAAGGTGAAATTCAGACATATTCTAGAAACAACTGAAAAAAAATGAATAGAACATTTGATATGGATATATAAGTAGAGTAAATGGGGAATTTCATCACATATTGGAAATAGACACACATCAATGTATGATAATACAAAACATTCAAAAGAACACATTCTCATGCTGTTGCTCTATCACTTCAGAAGTAACCACAATGCAATGAAAGCTCACAATCTCATCTGCAAGGCATTTAGCAAGGGCACAGTCAACAGCAGATCTACTACAATTGGTTCAAGAAATTCAAGGATGGAGATTTCTCACGACAAATCTCATCCAGGCAATGATTCTGCCATTGAAGATGCTGTTCACCTGAAATTGAAAGATGATAATTTACTGTTGGCCACCAGAGAATTCAGTACACAACAACTGGGTGATAGAAACATGAAATTTTCTGCATGCTTAGCAAGCATACAATTTGATGGATATTTTTTATTTGTTAGTTTTTTTTGTAAATATTGGTAAAATATATATAGATATGAATATGGTTAAGACTTATGATGTATGAGTTGTAAGTTATGAATTATGAGTTACAAGTTATTTCCAACTTTCCTACATTATTTGAAAATATTTCCTTTTCTTATTTTCAAATAATGTACTGTAGCATTGTTAATTATTTTATGTCAGAACGGTTAACAAAGCACATCAAAGAAAAGCGGTTCTTTGGAAACAAATTCTTTTGAAGAACTTTTATACTTTTTCTTATAATTCATATTGCATTTAATGTGTAACATAAGGTATTTTAAATTTTATGTAGCCTAATTATTGCCTTTTTTTTATGTATATTGTTAATTTTGGGAGCAGATATCAACTATTCTTTTCTATTTATTTGTAAAAATAAATAAATAAGGTATGTGATATGTATAAATATGTTTGTTAATTACAAAATTGTTCTTTTAACTCATTCAACTAGTCTCTTAAGAAATATTATTTAAATTTACTGGGTAGGAGATCAATAGAAAAGAATGGTGATTTTTATAAAAAAAAAAAATTTGTAATTTGTCATCCAGATGTCCAGCACCCAGTTAGCAGTAGTCTTGTCTGTTGTTTAGTTGATGGTGTCCCCAGAGAATTAGCTCAACTTGAATGTTCCAAAAATTGATAAAGTCCAATATTACCTTGACAATGAATCTGCAAATAGAACAAAGATGGTCTTAGAGAAGCTTGTCAGTCTGGGCTGGGAGGTTCTGTCTCATCCAACTTATAGCCCAGATTTGGTGCCAACTATCATCTATTTTGTGCGCTGCAGAACCCATATTGCCAATATACAGTTCAATGATAATAGTTGTGTGAGATTGACACTCAAGACTTCCTTCAAAGAAAAATCCCAGTCATTCTATGTTCATGGGATTGAAAGTTTGCAGCAAAGGTGGCAGGATATGATTGATGTTGATAGTGAACTGAACTATGATCATTGTTGAGTTAATTGCAAATAAAGTTTTTTTTTTAAATGTCTAAATTTCATCTTTACAACCTGATAATTGCAGTACAGTATTTAATATTCATGAAACTTTAAATGCACAGTGCTTGATTTTGTAGCCAAAATACAAAAACAAAGGAGTTTCTAGATTATCCAAAATTTTATTTATCCAAAAGACTCCCTGATCCCACCAAGTTCAGATAATCAAGTTTCCACTGTATTTTTATCTGTATAGAATTAAAATATTCTAAGATCTTAATGGTAATTATAGGTTATTTATATTAAATTAACGGTAATAATATAATAAATATGTTTATTTTTACAAATTCAATATTCCTTTCCAGATTAAAGAACTATCCTGATTGACTTCAAAATGTTACTTGGAAGTATGAATACTGCATCAATTTTACAATATAAATTTTTCTATCAATTTATCAAGTTATCAAAGAGAAATTTTAATTTAACAGGTTTATCATTTAAAATTATACCAGATAATTTAAAAGGAAAATCAAAAAGTTCTCAGGAATGGTTGACTCGGCAGTTGAACGATGTTTATGTAAAAAAGTCACGTTATGAAAGTTATCGAGCTAGAAGTGCCTACAAGTTAATAGAAATAGATGATAAGTATAAATTATTTAAACCTGGAATGATTGTTATAGATTGTGGAGCAGCACCAGGTTCATGGAGTCAAGTTGCCATCAAACGTGTTACTGGAAAAAATAATGGTAAATGAATTAGGATTATTTTTAGTTTTTCATTATAAATATTTTCAAAAAACAATCTTTAAGGAAATGAAATGCTTTATTTGTAAGTAAATATAGAATAAAAACCACATATAACATGTTTTGAATAATACACATACATTCATAGACATGGGAGCAGGAGAAACAATTTAATTCTAAATTAGAAATAGACAATTGTATACAGTGGTATTCATTCTTCAAATGACTCTAACTTCAAACACTTCGGTGTTTGAATGCTAAATTTGACAAAAATTCACTTCAAACCTTGAACTGGTATGCAGTGAAAAAATGTGCTTAAAGTGTAAATGCAACCTGTTGTGTGCCCAAGTGGTCTCTCACTCTCACTTTATGTTCATATTTTTCCAGTGTTTTATTTGCTTTATTTTTGGTGTTTGGTTTTATATACTTTGTTGATTTTTCATAATTTCTTCTTGCAGTTTTTCTTTGTCCACAGATTTTGAGTGCTCTGTATGTTTTGTATCCTTTAATTCAGCATTTTTTGAATGGGACTTTCTAAATAATGTTTAATGCATTTGAAGTTTAGAAGTATCTTTCCTATACACATTATGAATTTTTATTACTGTTTGTACAGCATTATATCCTTTCTGAAACTCAAAGCATAATATGCCAAATATGCTTTCTATCTGAAAACATTTCAACTTGATTTTATTCAAACAAAATGTGAAGTAAAAAGTTAAAAATAAGCTTATAAACAAAGAATGCAATTTCACATTAGCAATAATGTGTTAAATTTCACAACAGTTATAATTAAATCATACATTTATGTTAAGTAACAATTGTTGAAAATAAACAAAAACTTGCTGTTCGATCCAATATAATGTTTACTTATTGGAACTGACTTTATCATCTGAGAAATGTGTGGTTACAATGAAATTTAAGAGGAAGGTTGTAACATTGATGATTAAGATGAAAAAGGAACTTATCACAAATCATGAAAACAGTATATGTGTGGCAGATCTGGTGATCATATTTAAAATGCCAAAGTCCATGGTGTGTGACCAGTAAATGCAATTTTCATATTATTATACAGTACAGTATTTACACATTTTATTTATTGTTATCATGTTTTGATTTATTATTATGGCATTTAATTCTGTTATTTTTACCTTAAAAATTATGTGTATTTGCTATTTTAAATTTATTGAAATGGGTGTTGTTTAGGATCTGGAAACAGATCATCACTTTCCATTTATTTCTAATGGAAAAAATTGATTCAGACTTCAAACAATTTGGAGTTCAAATGGTCTCCTGGAGTGAATTAAATTTTAAGTATAAGGCCGTACATACTGTAGTATGTATAGCCTTGTGGTGGTGCCTTGTACTTTGAATTTACAAAAGTTTGAAGTACAAGGCAAAAAGTGAAATTACAAAATTATACAAATTATTAGAATGTATTTATTTATTGTTCTCAATTTTATGAGCTCCATGATGGCTTTTCTTTTCCGCTAGACTTATTACACCATCAATTAGAAACAGGACAAACTTTAGAAAATCACATTTTTATTTCCTAGAGTATATGCATTTTGGACTTTGAGTCCCTTATCAACTCTTTGTGATGTAACTGTTTAGGAAATAATGCATACAAGTTAACATAAAATTTTTGCACTGTTACAAAATTTGTAAAAATTATTAACTTACATGGTTATGAGAAGCACAGAAATGGTGACGATAAGATTATAAACTTTTTAGATTTATAGTAAAATCATAACAAGATGAAACAACTCACAGAAATAACAAGAAATTTGCTGCCATTTACCTTTTTATTTAAACACTTCCCTTCCCCCATTGCACCCCCTCTTGGTCAAATATGGATACCATGTTTCATGTAATTTTTGACCAGTATTATTATTCATGATTCTGTCTTTGTTTTTTTAGTATTTCTAAATGTTCATACCATCTCCTTTTTCGTGTATTGGATTATTTTTTAACAATTTTTACAGTGTCCTGAATAATGTGGCAACCTTCACTGTTACGATGAACTGCAGCAGCCGAACTATTATTATTTTATTTAATTGTGGATGGCATCCCGGTGAGTTCAATAATAGGTCTCATTTTAGCTGAACTTAGCTTGCCCAGCATTGATAAGAAAGTTGCCAATATTATGGGCATTATAGATCTACAACACTACATGATGACTGCTTCATAATTTATGATGATAATATTATACTAGACACATCCAACACACCTTATTCGCTGAGAACATATATTTATTAAACAAAACAAACGTTTTCAACCCGACTTACGGGCCATCTTCAGGTTAACGTCTTTCAACTCTAATACAAAATCGAACACGTTCAAAATTAAACCAAATTAGAACAATACGTTTAAATTAAATTAATAGAATAAGCATAACCGAAATAAAACAATAAATAATAATAAAACCAAAGTAACACAAAAATGAATATAAAATAGGGTAATTTGCCGTAAACACTAAGGAACAATTCCTTACATATTAACCCAGATATCTGTTGAGTCACGGTAGAGGCATTATTACGCGTGTTTTTTCTTATTATGTATTTCCACTATGACGGTAACACGGTCGCATCCTTATAATCTAAACATCTATTCGTCAAACTCGCTCGGTATATTGTTAAATGGGAGGATGCCAAAATTCTTGCAAAAGTACACTCACCAACGCTGTCATCCATAACCGAAAAATGCGAAATATACCGAGCGAGTTTGACGAATAGATGTTTAAATTATAAGGATGCAACTGTGTTACCGTCATCGTGGAAATACGTAATAAGAAAAAACACACGTAATAATGCCTCTACCATGACTCAATAGATATCTGGGTTAATATGTAAGGAATTGTTCCTTAGTGTTTACGGCAAATTACCCTATTTTATATTCATTTTTGTGTTACTTTGGTTTTATTATTATTTATTGTTTTATTTCGGTTATGCTTATTCTATTAATTTAATTTAAACGTATTGTTCTAATTTGGTTTAATTTTGAACGTGTTCGATTTTGTATTAGAGTTGAAAGACGTTAACCTGAAGATGGCCCGTAAGTCGGGTTGAAAACGTTTGTTTTGTTTAATAAATATATGTTCTCAGCGAATAAGGTGTGTTGGATGTGTCTAGTA